GAGGCTGGTGGGCGCCAAATCACCCTCCGGTGGGTGCTGTGTCGGAAATTAGTTCTCGCAAGAAATAAGCGAGCATCTTCATACAAATGAAGTAACCGCTCACCGTTATCATTACGGGAGCCTACACCATGTTGGCCGCCCAGATGCAGTTCATCACTGGATAATTTTCCAACTTGATCGTTCAGATCCCCAGCCAGCACAACAGTGTCCGAGCTTCTTCTGTGGCGAAGGAGATCGTTGAGTTGGTGGTAGAAGTCTTCTTTTACCTAATCGTCCCTAGAGTTTGTGGGTTCATAGGTAGGGATGACGAAGAGACACCTGTTAGTCCCGCGCGACTTCGAAGTTTTGAACGAGCCAGCCAATCGGCCCGCACACATCCGGCTACTGATTGGAATCCAGTCAACCAGAGTAGTTTCAGCCCGGGGACTCAGGACAATACCAACATCGGCTTGGCCGGTGCTCCAAGCTACCTCGTCACCGGATAGGCGCAATGAGAGAATGCTGCTAGTGTCACCTAAAGGGGATCGCAGAGTGAGCACAGAGTTGGAATCTTGCAGGCGGACCTCCGATAAGCAGCAGATATCAATCAAGAGAGTCTCTAATGTTCGGGCAAGTGCTGCCTGTTGACCGATCTGTAGCAGAAAACGGGAAAAGCTGTGGAAATGTGGTCCGAGCGTCCCACTGCGAAAGTGAACGTTACGCCCCTGTGTAGTTTTCTATTAAATGGATGAAAACGGTTAAATACTCGACGTTAGAGGCTGACTCATGAAACCCACATCGGGTAACCGCACACTTGTTTAAAAAGGACTTTAGGCGGAGAATATGTGAGTATCAGTTGTGGTTCACCCAGTGGTACGCAGGGGCAAATTCTGTGCAACGCAATCTAGAGGAATAGACACACACAGACCAAGACGAGGGAGAGGGAATTTAATAACCGAGATGACATCGTGCATTCGGTCACAAGGCTGTAAAACTAAAGTTGCTTTATGTAACGGTTACGAAGATGCGTCACATTAGACTAGCTAGTACCTCTGTGATTTCAGTAGGCACGCATGAAGAAATTCAGCGCCGATGAACACAAAATCACGACGCCTGAGTAGTGATTACCACTACCAGCATTAATGAACAACAGTGGCTAGAGACAATACATACCTCTTGCTGCATCCGCCAGCCTTGCATTGATGAAACAGCATAAGAAAAATATTCAGTGTGACCACAATTAGAGACTTTAGTCGTCTCGGACCTCGTCATACAAGCCCCCATGTTTGTCCCAAAGCGATCCGTGCAATTATCATATATATATATATATATATATATATATATATATATATATATATATATATATATATATATATACATATATATATCACAACCTATGGTACAACTATTGTGCCATCGGAAGCATGGCGGGATGAGAAAACAGGATTGAAACAAGCCCTGCCCAGTAACCAAAAACAGCTCATGGTACGGTAGATGCTGAACGTCTATGTGCAGTACGTACCTAAGCCACCACAGTTGACACGGTGAGGCGAGCTCCACGAGCGAATGGGTGCATCCATTTAAATTATGCTGTCCAACTTCACATTGCTTACGTCGTGCATCTGTCATACATGGGCGATGACCTGCAAACAATAGTGCCCCACGACAGTAGGTGCAGATCAACGTTACGAACAGACCTGGTCCGGCAACCGTAAAACAGTACAGCGGGGACAGTCACATAATAAACCTGCCATCTGGTGAATGTCATAACGACGCCACAAGCGCCTCAGCCTGGAGAAAGCGAGATGAGTTCTTGAAATATGCATCGAAATCTCATCCAGCAGTCCCATCAGCAATGATGCTGGTGGACAAGTAGATAAAACTCCACAGCCACTTTTTCACCTCCAAGGACGATTGCAGGTACATACATCTGCTAGTCTTGGGGGAGAGCTTTTCTCTTGGATGCGGAAAAGTGCATGCCACACTAAATGTTTTACTCGTCAAGCACTTAAGTGCAAGTTGGACGGCTTGTGGACGGTCACATATCAAGCCAATATCATCAGCGTAGTCCAAACAACTCGATTTCCTGGGAGGAGCTCAACGCCAGCACTCAACAAATCTTTCGAGTTGCTTTTTAGGACATCATCGATTGCAAAGTTTAGAAGGAATAGATAGATAAGGCATCCTCGTTGAACCTTAATGGCGACAACATGGGAAGGCGAAGGCTTATCGTAAGCCTTAACCGTCTCCGAGGACAGACTATAGCTAGTGATGCCTAAGTGGGAGTATTCACAACAATCTATGTATATATATATATATATATATATATATATATATATATATATTTCCAAACAGCGGTCGGATGTTAGTACTGAGTAAAATAGGTATGCTCTTACCTCTGAGAATTTTTATCCGATGTGCAACTCTTCATCCTTCACGGTGTTTTTGTGCAAAATTCAATCAGTTCTTCTTGAAACACTTTATTTTGTTTCCTATAGGCTGACTAGTTAAAACTGAGATTCGGATGCAGGAAAATATTACGAGTGCGAGCGATCTTGTCACTAGTTACGGGTCAAATTATTGTAAGGTTCCGATCTAGTGCCGAAAGCGTGTATGTTATGTTCACTAGTCATAAATTATAGAGCACGGCCAAATTTGAAGATCCCGCCGGCATACGGAGCTGCAGATCTTTTTTATCCATGTGTCTTGCTTCGGACGATGCAATGTTCTTTTCCTAGGTTCTGTGATGCGGTTAGTACGAACACACTTGATCAGATGTCACTGTCAGACGCTTTCACTTTTATGGGAAACGTGCTACAGCAGTTCTCAGAACCCATACCTAACTGTCCTGTGATGGCGTATCCCACTGGATATGACCGCATTAAACTGCAGCCCATTGGGTTGACCACGCCTAAGCCCTACTGAAATCCTCTCGCATTGTTGTGGTCGTCTGCTGCCGTGATAGTTTGCCAAATCACGCGATCAGCAGCAGCGTAGAACTCACTAGTTCGTTTATGGGAACCAGCAGTAGAGGTGGTCCGAACCTTGTGGGACACCGCAGTGCGCTACTGTCGGGTCATCCATAGCTCTACTAACTCTTACATTCAGACAACGTTGGAAGTGAAAGGTATATATACAACCCACGGAAGGATCGATAGTCTCTAACTATAGTTTCTGAGGAAGATGCAGTAATCTAAATCGTTTATAAAACTCAAAGTACAAATTGACAGTGCCAACTACTTCTTCAGCATCGTTAGATTCATTTCTACGCACTATCGCGATATTCGTTGCGCATAGGCGGTTTTGGCAACACTCTTGCTTCTTCGATGCAGTGGTGTTACATCTCTCTACATACCCCACGGATGCTTCCGCAACAGTAGTCTCCATGGTTTTATAAGGCACCGGAAGAAGTGATATTAGGCGGCGGTTTACGGTTTCAACAGGCTGTCCCCCATGTAACTGGGATTGACTATTCCGTGCTTCCGCATACTGCAAACTTGCGTATCATAGGAACCTCGTTGTCAGCCAAGCTCACGATATCCGTCTGCACTAGGAGAACTGTGCCCATGCAGTAACATCGGTTTCTTATACTCATCAGCGCCCTTGAAGGAGACGTGTCTACATGGTGGTGCCTTGATTTATGTGGAGTTGATATAAGATGGTGATACACTCTGGAAAGTAGGAGCGAGTTGATAACGAGAGGCGCTGGCCGCCCCTTTGCGCAGTTTGTACATGCTTACATTGCGATTTTTAGCACAGGGACGTCCCGATGTATTTTGCGGAGTTTGTTAACACGCCAGCCAAACAGCTTGAGGTTGGAGCGTAACTTCTTCAACAGATCCTGCTTGTGTTCCAACCTATCCTTACTGATTAATATGGCCCATTTTCCAACGGCTTCCCTATCTTTCCAGTCGTCAGCACTTGGACTTGCTTTACAGGCTTAAGTTGAATCCTTTAAGTCAATAACTTTTCGCTTCCTACTTCTCAGGAAGGGTTTTACCTTTTTAGATCTGGAGTTATTAACCTCTAATGCGCCTGTTACTAGGGTGCTGCACTTGTCAACGAATTCCACTCAAGCGAACTAGGGGGTTGATCAGTTAGGAACAGTAATGTGCTCTGGTTGCCGTAACCTGATGGGTTGATCATTGTTTCTGTGTAGACCATGAGTTCCACATTGGCGAATACGAGGTCTTTGATGGCTGGTTCGTTTCTTGTTCTTAATATAGTAGAAATAGTAACATGGTCATTAGATGGTGAGCCAGCGACTTGCTCCTGCTCACCGGGGGCGGCTGTCATCTCTAGAGCGTGCAAGTTAAGGTTGTCTCAGAACGGTCTTCTTAGCTGAAGGCAGAAGGTGGTCCATTTCTGAAGCGGGCGAACGTTGCGCGGTGACATCTAAACACGTATCATCACTGTAGATTCAAACAACTCAACAGCATGGACCTCCAGATCGTCAACGAGTTCAAAATCTAGGTTATTGTGATGATTCAACTGTACACTACTACCGGAACGGGAATATTTAGTAGTCTACTCACTAACCGATTGCTTATTTCCACCGATTTCTTACCAAGCTACAGGATTCGGGTTGTCGAAAATGGCGTAGTTTTGGTGGTTTTATTCATGTTTATTTCATGGGCGGATACTAAATGTAACTAATCTCTAACGGTCACAATGGGATACCCGTTCGGCATTCATCCGTTAGGCCTACTTTTTGATTTTGATCCACGTCTCTAATGTTCAATTAGTCAAATGGATCGCCTTAAGAACAAACTGAAGAGTATTTAGGAGAGTGAGCTACTGAATGTCTGCAGCTCATTTTCACTGGGGTGAAGGATGTGTCCCAAACTTTTGTCATTCATGTCAGTGAAGAGCTATTAAACAGCTGATCGCCTCAACGAGACACCTCTCTTATACACTGTGCCTTCTATTTTGTCTCATTTGCTCTTTCCGAGCGCATCGTCCTTGTTTACACATCTATCCGCATTAGAAAGAAATCCACGCATCTACATTATCTTATCTAGACCAACGTCTTAGCTGCTGGCCTTTTCGGTGGGGCTACTCAAAGTGGGGCCCGAGGTAGTGGTCAAGCGGCTACCGTTACACAGGCTCTCGCAGGAACTTTACCACACGCGTCAGCTGCCGCAATGTTGGCAGCAACCGGAGGACAAACAGCCGGAGGACCAAATGCCGGACCCGCAGGGGACGCCGCAGCAACAGCAGCCGCAATGATTACTGCTGGTCTCATGCGCAGGTAAGACTGAAAATTGAAATACTCACTGCACGTTCAATCAGAAGCCGAGTTGCATTCTGGTTGGCCCTTTTCCCATTATTGGCGCACTTCGCTCCAAGGCTAAACATCGAGTCTACTACTTCATAACATATTGAGTACAAGATTAAAAACATTCATTTCCGCTTGGCCTTATCACCTCTCCAGCATCCTGATGCCTGCGACCCTGTACTAGAATATGATGGTATATGTGTCATTCCTACACTACATGTTTGCGACGTTCGGTGCCATTTATGTGGGTTGGGGTGATTTAGTATTTGCCACTGCATTGTGAGTTGACCTCAATGTTGTGTGATGATCTGAGTACCTATGTATTCAACTGAAACACATTGGGTGGTGGTTTCCAAACCTTTTTGAACTGATCAGTGGTTGAAGCTCAAATATACTCTGTTTCATAGTGCCCAGTCCCCAACAATTTAGGAAAATGACAAATTAGCCACTCGCGACAATAGATCGCAGGTGATAACTGCAGTTCCGAGTTGTATCTGAATGTCAGTGAGCTTGTTCATTACTTGAGGTCTTGGTGTGACGTACCCCGAACCAATCGCCTGGCAGATGTGATGCAAACCCTTCAAAGCGCGTGTAGTTGACCGTGACCGCAGTTATCATTTAAGAGAGCAATAAGTGTGCTAAGCGCATTTATGCTGCGTGCGACGTACTCTGAGTAGGCTGCCCATATAAGCCTGCTCCCCACCGTATTATGGATCAAACCATATAATCAGACATTAATTGGCCTCTTAGCAATACCCAGTCCATTTTTTATCCCGTAATTTGGGATATACTCGACGATTGTAACTGTAAATCGTACGGATGATCAGCATCAGAGTAACATCCACCCACGAGGTTTTTTAGTCTGTGTTCTCCCGATTTTCTTCCTTGCGACTCTTCTTATGATTTAACCACAAGAACCCCCTCTCGACTATTAGTGTGCATTGATGCTGCTACTGAACGTGATACAATCGTTTGTATTTGGGCGTCTTAACCGTAATCAGATTAGTCTAAGACTAGGATTTAGCCAACTCGGAACCTTGTCTCTGTAAGTTTGAACCACTACTCAGAGTAGCACCTCTTTCTGCGACTATGGCTCGTCTTATGGAATTTTGCCGTGTTCTTTCGGTTTTTGGACCCGGCTCCTGAACCAAAGGTTTAGTTCAGGAACAAAAATCATTTTCTTATGGTTTAATACCATAGCGATATTTCATCCCACATCCAACTGCGGCTATCTCTTCAAGCTTCAATTTCATCCAACATCCACGGTCTCCTGGTTTCAGAAGAGCCGCGATATCTGCTGCATACGGACCAGAAAACCAGTGGAAACAGGCCAATGCCAGTACTTTCCTTGCTTCTCATCACTTCCTGTTAAGCATCTCCCCTTCTATTTCACTGGCCCTCCTTCCGGGCCCCCCAGCGTTGACGAGAGCAGCGAGAACATTACGAAACGCTGCGATATCCTACGGAAATTCTCCAAAAATACATCGCCTGCATATTCAACAACAAACAACATGGCCAATTATAGTGGCACTTATTCCGAAACCAACCTTATGCTCCAGATGACGTAATCCCTTTCACATATCTCAGAGGTTAAATAGGAGTACGGCATTCCATATCTACCACTAATATAATTCTGTGACTTGCCGTCATAACGCGCCCTATTGCGTTACATCGTGTTTACTTGTGGTTACTCGGCCACCTTGTTGCCTTGGGAATAGTTGTGTGTTCGATGGGTTTACGAGTGATGAAGCTTG